TAATCCGTGGCTGGGATACGTGAGAAACGTGGTTGGTATGATGTAGACATAGCGGCGTGGCGTGCTAGTGTATCTGCCAGTTCATTGCCGGGGATTCCAACATGGCTGGGCACCCAGCAAAATTTGATTGTTTTATGGTGCGTGGACAGGTAGAACTACCAGTTCTGGATCTTGCAAACAAGGGGGTTGGTGGTGTGTATTGACTTTATGAGAGTTAATGAGTTACGGGAGTCAGTAAAAATTGTAAAAGAGGAAGAGAGGAGTGAGTATATGTGTTTTAGGGGGAAAAGGAGTGCATACAGTTCTGTAGTAAGGGAACTGGATTCAGGAGGGAGGGAGTATTTGAAAGTACGAGTTGGGAAGATTACTGCAAAACCAGCACCGGAGGTGGATTTGGAGCCATCAGTATATATGTGAATACTAGAGGAATGAGTGGAGACATGGTCAAGGAAACGGGTAAGAAGGACAGCAGCAGGAATATTTGATTTTAGTGGGTCAGGGGAAACAGAAGAGCAAATATGGGGGTAAGGTATAAGCCATAGGGTATAGGGTCTTGAGTTTCGATGAATAGCTGTATGGGCAGCTCTTAGGACTGTATTTGTGAAAAACTGTATCATTTCTGAAATGGATGAGAGGGAGGATGGAGGGATATGAATAGCAGAGAGTGAAGTGAAAGTACGCCAGTCGGCTCTATCAAAGGAGAACTGGAAAGTGGTCACTATAGGGAAAGTGGTCTAGAACTGACCAGTGGAAATCTAAAGGGAGAGAAGGGGAGCATAGAGAGGGGTCAATGCATGAAAAAGATTGCGTGCGTGTATCAAAGTGTGTGGGGGATCTGAATTTAGAATAATAAGGTCAGCTGTGGAGAGGAAGCGCTCTAGAGATCGGCCTTGGGAGTTGATGGTAGAATCACCCCAAAGAGTGTGGCGGCAATTAAAATCACCTACTATGAGAAAAGGTGGTTAAAGTTGGGAAATTAGATTTTCAAAAGCAACAAAGTCAATGGAGTGGGAAGGGGAGAAGTAGACTGAAATCACTGTGATTCAGCGGTGAAGAAAGATAAGAATAACTGTACAAAGGACATTGGTTTGAAAGGGAGGTGTGACATAAAGGGAGTGTGGTGAAGAGATAAAATGATAATTGGGGATTGGTACTGGAGGATGTGTAAGAAAGGTCTCTTGAAGGCATACAATGGATGGGTTATAAGAGGAAAGGATAGGTCGGATCGGGTCTATGAGAGCGAAAAACGCGAATATTCCAATGAAGGATAATTATACTTTCGTTGATTTAGTGATATAGACTGTAGTACGTGTTGGAGAGTTTGAAGGGGAAGGTCTGAGAGAGGGGAGGTGTGGGAGTTGGTGTTGTGTCAGGAGGGGTATTAGGAGGTGGAGGGCCTGAGGAAGGGGATACTTGTGATATAAGGGATTCACGTGTGTATACAGGATGGAGTGGAAGGGATAGAGGGGATGGTGGGAGGGTTAGTGTGGGTGGGGCTGGAGTCGGGGGGGGGGGGCTGTGTTGGGAGGGGGTAGGTGGATATCCTGTAGGGGGGATATCGTTAGGAGGAGGATGAATATCGGCTGTCACTTTGAGTGTGGAGGGAGCAGGAGTTGTAGGATTTGAAGGTTGATGAGTGTTAGTTTTAAGTATTCTTGAATATTTTCAAGAGTTTCTTCAATAGAGTTGGTTGGGGAGTTTTGTGAGATATAGGATTTCTTGTGAGGGGGGAAAGAGAAGACTGGTATCTCAAGAGTAGGGGCAAAGGAAGGTGGAGGTGATTGTGTGGTAGGGGAAGAGGGGATGGAACGTTTGTTCTGTTTGTTGCGGGGAGGGAGAGGGGAAGGTGTTGGGTTTGTATTGGAGATTGGAGTGTTTGTAGTAGAGATTGGAGTGTCTGGATTTAGGATGGCAAAAGAATTTGACTGGCTACCTCACACTCAAATTTGTAGGTGGGGCAGCCCCTATAAGATACACTATGGGGGCCGCCACAGTTGACACATGTGCGTGATTGTGCAAAGCAGTTTGATCGAGTATGGCCTGGTTGGGCACATAGTGGGCATCTGGCTGTGGAACGGCAATGTTTAGCTGGGTGTCCTAAACGCCAACAATTTTGACACTGATGGGGAGGAGGTTGGTATGGTCGGACAGGGAGGGATTCTCCACCTATGTAAACATGAAAGGGAAGGTCATGTCTACGGAAAGTAATTTTGGCGATGTTAGTGGGTTTCTTACGATGACCTCTGGGAGGGATGGAGTAGCATTTTACTGATGTTGCATCATAGCCTGTGAGACAGGCGAGTAAGTCTTCTCCACAATCTGACCAATCTTTGTCATAAATTGGACAATATGCCGGGGAGATTGAAACAGATCCGGTGCAATTATTGATGGTTGGATGGGGTTCTGCAAGGATGGGATTACCATATAGATCGGGTCGGGTCGGCTACGGAAAGAGACTTTGCCTACTTGTTTTTAGAGCCATTGCTGGAAGAGAAGGGTGTTGTCAGAGTAGGGAGCTGTGGGAGGGATCACGAAAAATAGGTCCCATTTGGCTGGGCTAAATAGAGTATTTAAGATTGTTGTAGAGATAGGGGTAGTAGAAGGGCGGGGGCGTGTCGAAGATGGGGTAGTATTGAGGGAGGTAGTGTTATGTAGAGGTGGGCAATAAGGCTGTAAGGTATTAATAAGGGAGGATGGGGTAGTTGATGTAGAAGGTTGTGGGGGTAGAGGTGTTGAAGTTGAGCATGTTGGGAGAGTGGAAATGTCTCTTGGGGGTTGAGTGTTGACTACTGTCAACACTGTAGAGGCATTGATGAGGGGGTAGTTGTTGCTGTGTTCGGAGCCGTGGTCAAAGGAGAGCCTGGGATCAGGGAATCAGAAGGGTTTGAACTTTTGGGGCTATTTGATGAAGGGGCAAGCCTCATTGTCCCTAAAAGTGGAATTACGTCTTCATTATTGGTCATGGTAAGGAGAAAAACAGTCCACCCCTCAGGGTTTCCTTGAGGGGTAAGAGCTAGGTAATTAAATTAGGGGAATACCGTGCCCATGGCTCCCTCAGGCTGTTCAGGGCTGGCACAAAGTCAGCCTCACACCTTAGGTGGATAGTAGAAGGGATTGGTGAAGGAACAGAAACGAAAAAGTAGGAAGGGAAAAAAGACCATGCAAAATTAGTTGAGTCATGGGCTGAGTCCCAAGGTTGGGGAGTTCCCCATCATTGGGTCCCAGTCTCCGCTTCCTAAGCCCCCCACGAAAACAACGGGCAAGGGATTGGGGGGCCGCCAATTCAAGTAAAGGTGAAATCAGGTAAGGCAGACCATCTACGTGTAGAGACATTTCACAAAAAATATAAAAAATAAAAACTGCATTTTCCCCATTTTTTGTTCATTTTTACCTGTCGTGAAAGGGTTAATAGATAATGGCTAAAAAGCAAATAAATGTACTAGACAGCAAAGGTCATATAGCACTATAGGAAAGAATAGTAGCTAAAAGGGTAAAGAGGGTTGTTAATGAGTTAATTATTAGATGTGGTAAATGCCAAAAGTCATACAGTCTTTTAGGATAATATGGTATAGAAAAAGGTAAAGAAGGTTGAGAGTAAAGAGAGTGAGTGAGTAAATTGGGCAAGGCAGGGGAAGGGGTTAGGGCAATGCAACCAAATGAAAGATCTATGAGAACAGAAACCCAATATTTCATTGCAGAAGAGTTATCATGAACCAATCAGTGTCAGAGTAGGAGGAGAATAATTGAAGAATGATGCAAAGGATCAGGGGGAAGAATGTGTGTATCCAGGAGGGAGCAGAAAGTATAACATGGAAGGAAGGGGGTTTTGTGCAGATACAGTAAGGAGGAATAGGGAGTGGTGCGAGGGAGTGGGAAGAACATGAGGAGGAAGGGGATGGGTGACTGTTGAGGGAATGGAAGATTGAGAGGATGAATGGAGGAAAGGCATATTTTTTGGGTCATGATTAGAAATTTCTGAATGTTCTCAGAATTTCTGAAAGGGGTGTTGGTTGGAGAGATCTGAGAAACAAAGGTCTTCTGGGTCAAGGGGATAGACATCTGAGAAACAGAGGAAAAAGTAGGTGTAGAAGATGGGGTGGAACATTTACACAATCTTACGTGATGGGTAGAGTGAGAAGGAAGGGTAAAAATTAAGGAAGTGGAAGAGATTAGAGTGTCTGTATTCAGAATGTCAAAAGACTTTAACTGGGAAAGGGAGGGGTTGGAATTGAGATAAAAAAGAGTAGGAAGAAAAGATACTGGAGATGTAGTAACAATCTTGGGGAGAAGGGGAAGGGACAAAATGAACGACAGCACTGCAGTAGGGGGTAAGATAAAAATCTTGTTGGTGTGCTTCCTGTCTGGCTTCACATAAAGTGAGGCTAAATGTCTGAATTGGAGGACTGCTATCTCAAACACAAACTTCTACGTATGGCAGCTTATAAGATGCATCATGAGCACCACCACTATTGGTGCACGTGTGTGATCATAACTAGGTTGGGCACATTGAAGGTAGTGGGCTATGGAGCGCTTGTGTTTGACAGGGTGACCAAAACAGCAAAATTTCTGACACTAACAGGGGAGGGGTCAATATGATCAGACTAGGAAGGAGTCTCCACCAATATAAACTTTATGGGGGAGGTCATGTCTACAGAAGGTAATCTTTGCAATATTAGTGGATTTTTGCCAGTAGGAATGGTGTAAGATACTGCATCAGAGTTTGCGAGGATAGCAAGTAGGTCATTTTTACAGTCTAACCATTCAGCCAGGGAGATGGAAAAAGTTCCAGTACAAATATTAATGGAGGAGTGAGACTGGGATGGAATAAGTTTGTCTCCTAAGCCCTCCCATGGCAACAACGGGCATGGAATTGGGGGGAGGTGAGTGGAAAGACAGAGATTAGAAAGAATAAGTAATATTTTTTTTTTTTTTTTTTTTTAAGAACAAAACTATCAAAGTATCTAAGAAATGTTGAGTAATGTGAATAATAAAAAACAGAA